GGTCAACACTCTAAAGGATTCAACCTTTCAATAAAAAGTTGGCATCCTCAGGATGTTTGGACTAATCTGGCTAAAAGCTGGCTCTGAGACGAGACAATTCACACTGAAATGAGGATTCCAAGATTTTGAGATCAAATCAAAAGTTTGACTGTGTCACCCAAGATTTTCAAGTTACCATTCGCAACCCCTCTTACATATTTAAATACATACTGTACATTAATTCATATTTTCAAACTCAAACACCAGGTCAAACATCAGGGGCTACATCGCTTCATGAACAGCAATTTTCCTTTTTTGATTAAGTGATGGATAGCTTGTCATCTACAAGTAGCTAGCACAAAATGTTGCTATGAAGTATCCAGGTATTACAACAATTCCCACAAGTCACTAATTAATTAAGTAACCTATTAGGTACCACTCAAACATTCAAAGAAAACATAACAGTAATTCATATCACTCACCATGACTCTTAACTTTTCTGTCTCTCATTTACATTCCATCTGACTTGAGTCTGGTCTTAGACCTTCCAGCCTTCTATTTGGTTTGGCTTTTTAATGTCTTGGTCAGTTCCTTTATAAAAGATAATAAAATAAATAAGCCAGTTACATGAAGCCTCTCAGTATCAAAAGGCATTTAAGAGCTTGCATGTATTTAAAACAACTAGTCCAGCAGTTACTGATAGTACATGTACCTACAGAACTGGATCTACAGCAGAAATCCCTCCAGCCCCCTCCTCTCTCTCCCCCACTAGAGCACTGAAAAGTGTTCCCCTTGCTGAGAACAACAGGAATCATATTATGTTTCACTTTAGAAAACGTAATATAATTATTAATATAGATTTACATGTAGGCAAGCCTAAAAGTGGAGCTCCTGGGCTGGGTTGTTCAAAGCCTGATTAAGCTAACCCAGGATATGAGAGAATTTTGATTTGAGTTTTGTAACTTTGCAGTGAGGTTTTCTGTATATTGTTTCCAAGGCCCTATCTTTCGGGTTTGAAAAAAAACCTCAAACTACACAAAATATAAGCAATGAAAAAATTATACTTTGGTTAACTTTTAATCGTGGGTTAGCATTAAACAGTTTCTGATAACCCAGCCCTGATCACAACAAGTTAACCTTGCCTGAGCCCACGATCCAATCGAAACCCAGTATGTGGTCAGCGGTCAACTTCAAAAAACATGTGACCTCAATGAGCTCTAAACTTGAGCCCACCAGGTTACTAGGTGACCTCACGTAGTTTATTGACCAGAGGGCATTTTTTAGCACAGCACATTACCCTACACTAGCTATATATACTATCATAAAGTTTCAAAAGAACCAACCCCAGATGCAACTAGACTTGCCATGAACAAGACAATTAAACTAGAAGCTCAAAACTACTTGTTGCTGGAAATACATTCCAGAATTTGCTGCATGTGCCAATTAAACCCAACATTCACTAAAAGGTTTCAATGAAACACGGGTAAGGAGCAAACTTGTGGTTTGACAAACCCAGTAAATTCAATACAGTTCTACCAGCCAACATTAACTTCCTGCTTGTTTGGGTATATACATGTATTTCAGATAAATTCTCCGTAGAACCTCTGTGACTGGCAATAGCCTTTACAAAACTTTCTGCAGGTCTACACCAAAATTATTACGTCTTATTTCCTTCAAAAATTGCCAAATTTTCTTGGGCTTTTTGCTTCATGGATGCATGTCTCTTTTATCACTTCATTTCATCTTGTTGTATTGACGTGACAAGTTAATAACATTGTTTTCTCAATGCCTCATACAGTTGCACAATGACATTAGATACAGTAAAAATTAAGACTATAATGCAAATTATATGTGAAATTCACACTGCAAAATCACTTGGTTGTCAAAGGTCATTCTCTCAATTGGTTGGTAATCCTTCTTTTTAGGTGCTCTCTTACTCTCCTGCATTCTTTTGTGTTACAGCAGATGAAGCAAGAAAAAAACCTATATAGTCTTAGATTCTATGACTAGCAAACTTCAGATGAGCTTATGATCTCCAGGAATGATCTTGCTGCCAAACACACTTACCACGACTTTTAACTCTCCTGTATCTCATTCACATTCTTGACTGGCTAAATCTGAGCCTCATTTAGACACATCCTCCATTAATTTTGGGTGAGTTTATATTCCAATCTTGTCTCTCTATCAGGACCTTAAAGATGTAAAAAGAGCATTAATTTTTATCTCGTGAGGTATGACATTAAATTACTATTTAAAACTATAATTTTAAGTTACAGTAGTTACCAACTGAGGTTACTTGTACTAAGCCACAGAGTAGCAGATCTGGCAAGCAGCCCTCCAATCTCACCCCCCCCCCTCCCCCCACTTGCCACTGCAGTATTGAGATTCTCCTTTGAGCAGCTTTGGTCAGGGGATCTTGGATGTTAGCGCAGGTGCAGTGCGCCCCATCATAGAAACACGTTCAAGCACCATGTACATGTGCATGTAGTTCAGTGATTTTTCAGTGGAGCTTCCTATTTTGCCTCATCTTTTTCTGCTATTGTCACCTGCTTTTTTTTTTGGGTCTTCGAAGTGAAATTTTCCAGCACTTGGAATCAACAAAGTGTGTTTTTTTCTTGTTTTTCTCCCAAGGAATTGACCTTTTATGGCCAGCTGTTCAACGAACAATAGTCTTGCATCATTCAAGTTTCCTGAGTCAGTTCAAAATTTCTCAGAAAGTGAAACTGTGCCATCATGCACAGCCAGAGTCATTTCCACTGCAGAACAGCCCACAGTACCAAGGAAAAGTCCAGGCAGTGTTACCTGGATTTCTTGCCAGAAATTTAAATTTCGCACACATCATTTTTTCAGTAATTCCAAGTTTTTTTAAGCCTCGAAACCGTAAACGTCCTTTTTAAAGTCATCTCAGGGATTTTAATAAGCCATTTGCATCAAAACGTTCCTCCAAAACTTCGGAAAACGAAAAAAAAAAAAGTCGCCATTTCCTAGCTGATCTCCAGCCACTGCACACTAATGGCTCATAGTGTTCAATGGCTCAGCCAATCAGATTATAGCATTTGCATTAGTATCCTAGTAGAATTCTACTAATAGAGAGGCTAAGCATGACATTTACAGCAAACAGCAAACGACAAAAATTAAACTTTTGCCGTTGTTTTTTAGCCGTGTGTACACTTAAGCTTAACTGAGATTATTTGTATTTTCTGTCAATAGGAGATTTTTTCTATTTTCGAGTTGAATTAATTTAAGGATTAATGGAAAAGAAACCAAAATCAGAGGCAATTTTTGCCGTTTGCCGTAACGTCATGTTTAACCTCTCTACTATGTTTTAGTTTACCTCGGCTAAGAGTCTTGCATTAACCGTAAGGAATTGCCAGGCTGTTGTCGGCGGTGAGCGTTTGTAAACGTGGTTTCTGTTTCAGTGTTTTGCAGCCGCTGCAGCTATTTCCTTTGCGCCCATATCCAACCAGACGAAGGGAAATACCTTTCTAAAGTCAACTGATATCACAAAAGGCCTCTTCGTCACAGCTTCAGCGTCAAAATATGCTCGTATTATATGAAATGCCATGTATCCCGCCATGTTGGATTCTTTTTCGTTCTCAGTTTCTTTGGGTCGAAACGAACGCGTCACGCACTGTTTCACGCGGGAACTAACGCGGAATCACGTTCATCTTAGCGATGAATCATACCGCGGTCGGTAGTGGGAAAAGTTGAGCTAGGGATCTTGAGCACAAGACCAAGGACCAACCAAGTCCGGCATTTAGCGTGTCCGGCCAAAATGAAGAGTTGAACGGACACATGACCTGTTAAAGAGGAAAAATTATCTCCAGCATTGCATTGGGTTGACGTATTCTAGTCTTACGAGTAGGCAACTACTAGAAAGATAAAAGGAAACTGTACAAGAATTACTTAAAACAAAATAAGGGCGCAGACAACACGATATGAAACGATACGCCCAACAAATTAAACGCAGAACGTTGGCAATGGGCCCAGCGAATGCTATTACCCAGTCTACCTACATGTATAGGGCAAAATACGCTCCGGAAGGTCAGTTACGTGTCATCCCGTATATAGAGGATATTACACGGTGGCGAGAAGATATGAATTTTATGTTCTCGTGGCAAGAACAATATCTCACTCGTTCGCTTCGCTCACTCGTGAGAT